ACCTTAACTTCGCTATAAGGTTATAGTAAAGATTTTAAGAGATTTGATTGGCCAATTCGCTATAACAAAAGTATTTTATTATATTTGTTTAAAAAATTCGTTATATCAAGAGTTCGCTATATCAAGAGTTGACTGTATACGTATTTTTTATGATATGTTAAAAATAATCTAATCTTCATATATGTAAATATATACATTACACTTTTGGCTAAGTTCCTGATATACTTATAATCAAATAAAAATAAATCTGATATTTTATTATAATATACTTTGCTATAATTTGCTAAAAACACTATAAATATATAAAATTACTAAAATTACTATAAATAGTTATAAACTTCTTATATCTATAAAATAGTTAAAACTAATTACTTTTCTAATTTAAATCCTATAGTAATGTAGATGCTAAACAATTTGCAATATAGGTATAATGGTGAAATATTAAAAATATGATATTCTTGTATTCATTATCTGTTTAAATAACTTCTTAAATATAACCTAAAATACTTTTTGAAGAATAAATATATCTATATGATTAAAAGATCATATAAAAATAAAAAATTTAAAACTGAAAGGCGTTCATTTATATTTATTGTACTGTATGTGACTTTTTAATATTTATTTATAAATTACCATAGAGTACACAAATGATTACCTGAAGAAATGTATTACTAAAAGTATCTTACATATTTTAATCTTATGCAGAAAAGTGTAAAAAAAGAAACAAGTATATTATTATTTAGTTTTGATGAAGTTGATGAGATTTTTTTATATATTTACAGCGTAGTTATTATAAATGAAATATAGACTATGAATTTAAAAAAGTATTATATATCATATATTTAATAATACAAAAATTATCTAACAGACTTGGAGAACTTTCAAATTAAGATCTGAAATATAAGTAATATAAGTTTGAAATATGATAAGAAATAATAATACTTTTGATAAGAAAATTTTTTAGATATAATTTTTCATAATATAAGAGTTCTTGATAATCATTATATAGACTATTTTAGTCAAAAAATTCTAGCTAAAGATTTATCTACATACTATCAGAATGTTTATTGTTTATTTTATTATTATTTTTCACATGAATAGATAAAAAAGAAGAAAGAATAATTATGAAAATGATTAAATAATATAACATATATAGTTGCTTTTATAGAATTGCATCTGCAAGACTATAGTATTATTAAATATAATGGTTGGTCTTATATATTAAAGTAGCTATCAAATCCTGAATATTATCATATTGACAAATGGGGCCTTTGCAATAGAAAGGGAAGAAACTCAAAAAAAAATAAAAAATGAGTTAATAATAAATCTGAACAAATTATAGTATTTAAAACATTTTTGGCTTATAAACTAAAATTTTGATTTTTTGGAGTTTCCTTCCTTTCTATTGCAAAGGCCCATATATAATATCGATAATAATGTATAATATTTAACAAAGGTATACGTAGTAAATCTTATCATCTACTATATGTTTTAACTGCTGAAAACTTATGCAAATAATTTACATCTTGTATGTTCATTATACATTACCTCAAATCCTCTAGATTGATATTCTTGTGATCTTAAACTTTGAGAAATAGCTTCAACTGTTACATCTGTGAAAGGAATTGCATTATCTTCCTATTCTGTTAAAGTGAAAATCTTCAATAATTATTGAAAAATAATATTTTAGTTTAAATTTTGAGTAAATTAAAAACTAGTGAAGATTATAGTTACCTTTTTCAATAAATATTCAACTATATAACAAGATCTGGTGTAATCCTTTCAGCAGTAAAAAATATGTCTTCTTGACGATATGTGATACTAATTGTTCTTTTTGTCCATCTCCCCTAGCAAATTTGTCTATAAATATATGTGTAAAAATAAAATTAAAAATTTCGTGAATTTATAACAAATATTCTTTTACCTTCCATCTGTGATACTAGTGTGCTTTTAACTCTCACTTTAATAAATTTCATTCTCTTGTTTATGTTAATCAGTAAGTTAAATTTTCCTTTTTGCTATATATGTCATATAAATACTTGCTAGACTTTAAACTAAAATAGATTAGATGACATGTTAAAAAATTAAAAATGTTCAGCTAGTATTGCTTTATTGTTTATTATTTTTTTTACAACTTATAAAATTTTAAAGTCATCTGCCCTATAAAAAATTTGCATACGTTTTTTCATTATTATAAATAAGTTTTGTATACGTTTTTTGAAATTCTGTATTACATTTTCTTATATTTTATAAGGAATTTTTTTTTAGCATTTTTTTTATAAAAAATGATGTATAAGGAATTGTTAATT